CGAGTCACCACATTTAATGACGCTGGATCTACGGTCTAGCTTCAATCTCAAACCGGGAAAACTAATTTCGGCAAAACTAGGTAACCACCCTTAAAATCTTTACTAAACCCTAACCCCCAAAACTAACTTAGGCTTGCCTCTAATTTTTCCAACCCTTAGTTTTTCTTTAGATCTAGCGATGAGAGAGAGTACTACCTAGGGTTTTTAGAGAGTGAAATATAGAGGAGAGAGAGTATTACTTAGGGTTTTAGAGAGAGAAATATAGAGGAGAGAGAGAAATAGAGAGGAGAGAGAGTGGGGTGTGCCCCTCTAAGAGAGAGAGAGATTATGGGAGAAATAGGGATTGTATAGAGGTGGGGGAGCGCACCCTTATTTATAGTGAATATTTAGGTTTAGGGTTTTTTTGGATTTTTCCATAGTTTGCCTCTTTCATGAGATCGAATCTAGACTGTTGATCAAGGTGACTTGTGGGGTGAGAGATCTGAACCATTCATTCCATAGGCGGCCATCAACATTATGAAAGGTGCTTGAACCATTATCCCCTTTTCCTTAAACCATTTTCCCATCAATATATTTAAATAAATTAAATCCATTAAAGATATCATGCATTCTATAAAATTGCATTATCCATCTCATATATTCCATAAGAATATATCAAGAAATATCAAGTTAATATTTACTATCTTAAATAGATAAAATATGGTCAATATTTACTATATTACAAATTGACCATATGTCATAAGATATACTTTCCATATTTAAATAACTTGAACACAAAGCTATTAAAAGGAATCCAAAGGGGTGGGGCGTGCCACCCCTATGTGGCACATGTAGGCCCCACCCACATGCCACATGGGGGGCCCATGTGCACTATAGGCCCCTATAGAATTTTATAAAAAAAACAATTTAATATAAATTTGAATGTTTTATAATTTTGTAAAATCAATAACTGTATTTTTATAAGTCTAAAAATCATAAGTAAAATATTGAGAGATTCATAAAAATTCAAATAATAAAATTAAAATCATTTTAATAATAAAATGAACGTAATTAAATTAATATGATGGAAAATGATCTATATGATTTTAAGAATTCAATCTGTAATTATGGGGTACTCCACCTTCAATTATGAACTACAGATTAAACTAGTTTTATCGAATTGACCTAGTATTTCTCATGATCCACAGTTCAAACAAGGGCTCATTGGCGGGTCACCAAAGTCAAGTCGATGAATTAAGGAGTCACAATCTCAATCTGTGGATTACAGGTCCTCCCCTAGAGATGAGTCAATGTCACCACGACCTACTGCGACCACAACTCTATGACGCATAGGGGTATCTTTCGCACATGCATACGCTTCACCCAAAAGTGGACATCTGGTTTTCCCAAACGATCTATTGATATGCATGCCATGTGATGGAACGTGAATGAGGTTTTGGCCCCCGTCTTAGTAGGCCTGCCATCACATACAAGGGTCACGCAGTCCCTCTGCTCACTCATATAGGCATAAGCTCTGACCTCATCAGGGCCTAATCCAAAACCCTCATTGGTTATTTCTTTATGCCCAGGTACTTTGGATTTTTCAACCGACTGGTCTAGATCGATAAACACAGTTCGGGATAAGCAAACATCATTTGCTTAGTATGGTCCTCGAGGGACCACACTCTAACTAAGGTTATGTTTCACTATAATAAAAGTATTTCAATACACACTCATAAAGCATTTAAATACCACATAAACCCAACATTAATTACCAAAGTTATTGAAACTTGTCATATGGATTTAAATGTAATGATAAATATAACAATCGATCTTCAGTTCTCTACAAGCAATAAACTTTCATGATGTTGATTTGGTCATATTCTGCAAATCCTTTTAACTTATTCAAGGGGAAATTGAATATGAGCCTTGTCATTTTTTAGAAATATGGCAATAACACAAAGCACAACCTATGGTTATCAACGAAATTTGAGAAATATGATAATTGTCCTGAGATTGATCTTGCACGTGTCTTTCTTAGTGCAATACTACTTGTTACATTCGGCCTAAAGCTTTTATTATTGTTAGAGATTTAGTCAATTACCGGCTGTATTGTATATTTAGTTATGTATTGTATTGGAAAGTCAAGCTGACCCCAATTAATTGGGAAAAGGCTACGATGATGATGACGATGACGATGATGATAATGATTATATTGGAAAATCAATTGGGTAAAAAGGAAAAAAAAAAGTATAAATTAAGAAAATCATGCTTGAATCCTTTTTGTTTTCGAGCACGAAGAAGTGTCATCTCAAGACGTTGCCTCCGCTTTATTATTGTATCATGTGTGCATAAGAAGAGCAACTCGTCGTCAGGATACAGAAAAACAAAAAGGTTTATTTAGATGCTCTGAAGCTCTATGCACTCGAACTTGAAGCTCACATTAAACACCAAAGTCTTGTATTGCTTAGAAAGAGAAAAAGAGAAAATAAGAGTCGAGAGGGAGATATCGGTGCTCTATTATGCTCTTTGGAATTTTGTAGATAATGGTGTGAGAAAAGATATGAGAAGAGAGTTGCAAGAGTGTATTTCGTTTGGGCAAAAAGGACCCCTTTTGTAGAGCTCTTGGATACCGCCTTTTTTTCGGTCGGAGTGGTTACATGCATTTTCAATAGTTATGAGTTACATGCACGCCCTTAATTCGACAGTTGTTATAAACCTCCATTGCTTCAACTACTAGTGACCATTGGATGTCCCACACTAGCCATGCTCACAAAAAGATATCGAGCCTCGAGCCTGACTCATACACATGCTCGGACAAGGGGCGCCTCACGCGCTGATGCGAGCAAAGTGCAAAAAATGCCATCAAATGCTTTGCGTACTCCCCACATGCACCATCACTCTCTCCGTTATGCTAAAAGTATAAGGCATGAGAATGCCTACAGTTAAATACCACTCAATGTACAATTTCTTCATCAAAATACAACTTAGGAAAAACCATGAAAACCATAAAACCATATTATTATATTGAAGTACACACTATTTTTCAAAACAAAAACTACCAACATTTTCTCCACTATTTTATTTGACCCCCATGATATAGCATGAAATACACGTTTCTTTATTTGATCCCCACGATATTGCATCACTTGCTAATTTTAAAATCCATGTAGATGACTGTGAATCTTAGAATTTTTTTTTTTGTTTCCAATTAACATCACTATACCTTTCCAATACTTCAAAATAACCCATAGATACATCTATTTCCAACAAAACAAAAAAAGAAAAATGAAATGGTGTGTTCAAAAGCGCCATGCACCATATTTATCCCTTGAAAATTATATAAGAGAAATGATCCTATAGGACTCTCCTCTACCCATTGCATAGGACTTCAAAGAATCACACATATATATCAAAAAGTTGCACACATGGGTGGGGGGGGGGAAGGGGGGGTCCCATAGGATCATTACTCATTATATAAATAGGCTTAAAATGTTATCATTTGATTACGGCTGCCTGCGCTAACGGCCGTTATGAGAAGTGATATAACGTTATTTTGAACCTTTAAGTTCATACCATCACAAACCTCCTATCCAATTAAACAAGAAGCCCCGAATCCATACTGTGGCTCATATCCACCATCCTTCCTGAAAATGGACGGCAGATCCGCCGCGTATTCATCGAAGCAATGGTTTAAAAAAAGGATCAGTGACCCGGATCGAGCTTTCATAAAACCAATCCGGATCGGCGAATCGGCGTTCCGGATCTGGAATCGGGTGAATCGGTCAGAATAAAGCTTAAAAAAAATCCGAAAAAATTATTAAAATTCATTATAAATATTGTTTTTTAAGAATTCAATAAGAAATGAAGGTACTCCATTAAGAATTTTCATGTTTTTGAATGAATATGCGAATATTGATATGTTCTTTCCCTGCATGAACCGCCATTCAGCATTTAATTTACATCACACAAAAGGATAAACATATAATTATCATGGAATAAGTATATCAACATATATGGACTACAATAAAGCATAAAATTAGTAACATATGATCTAAAAATAAAATGATAGACGATGTTATTGTTCTTCTTGGTCACGCTGGTGCCATTGATTGAATTCGTTTAACAATTCATTGATTCGATCTAAAAACGAATCATCGTCTGACTATTCCCAAATCCTTGAGTGTTAGTGTTTTGTTGTGTTCCCAATCTAAAATCCTCGAAGATTGTCCATCCTTTATGCTCACCTGCATTGTCGTGCTCATCCCTACACTGTTGCTGTTGGGACTCGATATGTGAATAATATGGCTGGGATAGGGTGGCCTCATAATCATCATCTCTCTCATTTTCCCTTTGAATAATATGAATTAAAAAAAATAATAACAAATTTTCAAAAAAATCGATCATGGATTAAAAAAAAAATCACAAAATTTCAAAAAATTCTATCATGGATTACAAAAACAAATTCGATCATGGATTAAAAAAAAAAATCACAAATTTTCAAAAAATTCAATCATGGATTACA